GAGCCTTTACTCAGATCCCAAGAAAAAAATGGATGCACATATGCTCAAACAAATGAATAGCCGTAAAGGCAATGAAATAAAAAAAAAAACTGAAACACAAGGATAACAGTTGTTCCCAAAAATAGGGAATTTGTGATATGATTTGTCCTGTATCTGGATCGTGTTTTGCGGATTGGTCTGCTTGCATGTCCATATTTCACTGCAGAAATCTTCGTAGCTGGGCCCTAACCATGTCGTGGTCTTGAGCAAGACATTTCACTCAACCCAGGAAAACCTGACCAAATGCTGGGTGTTGACCCTGTCACAGAAACTGGGATAAACTCTGACAGGATGGATCAACTGGCTTCTACGCTGACTTTGCCTTTTAGCCATTTTGGCTATTCCAATACTCTGGAGGCTTCTGGAATTTAAGGTTAGTACATTATAACCCTGTAATCTTTAGGTGCCTTACCTCAAGCAGTCGACAGTCTAGTCGTTCAATGATCTCAGGGTCTGCATACTGCGCATTGGTAGCTCTGATGGCTGTCTCCAGCACGCCTGTCAAATTGTGCATGTACAGTGTGCTGGCTGCCTTGGCTAAGTCAGACCTACAGGAGAGAGCGAGAACAGCAATGAATGCGCTGGACATTTTTTTTTATCCTCATCACTTGTCTGCTTGATATTTCACTGATATTGTAGGGAGAATAAAGAGAAATTCTTTTTTGGGCACTCATGAGAATTTAAGGCTTCAGGATACCGCGCACCTTCAGGGGTGTCTCGTGTGCGAGCGATGTAGCGTGTCCGGTTTACACTGTAGATATCTAAACCCCAATATCAAATGAAAGCTTATAGGACTGGCTATCAGACTATACCAAAAATTTTGAAAATAAATGAATTGTCGAATTTTTCACGACTTCTAAATGCGAGCGCCCGAATAACCTTTTAAGAGCTACAAGTCAAAGGGAATTTGTTCGACTGCTCCATAGTTAGTTTAATTTCTAAATACTTTTTTTTTTTCAAGAGCAATTTTTGTACGATCACTCAACATTTTTTAAAATCCTATTTCAAAAATGTTCTGTAACTTTTCACTGAAACTGAATATGGCAAATTACAGACACGTTTTTTTAGCGCTTTGGCACAAGAAACGGAGGAACACATTAAATAAGCGAAAAACAAAATTCGCTTTAACATGTAATGTTCAAAAGGTGATTCGGGCGCTTGCATTTAGAAGTCGTGAAAAATTCGACAACTTATTTTTTTTCAAAATTTTTGGTATAGTCTGATAGCCACTCCTATAAGCTTTAATTTGATATTGGGGTTTACATATCTACAGTTTAAACCGGATGCACTACATAGCTTGCACGCGTGACACCCCTGAAGGTGCACGGTAACCTTAACCTTTTCCCAAACATACTTCCCAATAACAAAAATTCCAATGAACGACTGAAGCTGTTAACACAGATCATATGATGCACGATCCTCGCAGTAGATAGCGCTATTTAAGCAATAGCGAAAATCAGACCTGAAAAAAATCAGACCTGTACGGGATTCGAACCCCTGACCTCTGCGATACTAGTGCAGCGCTCTACCAATTGAGTTAACAAGCCAACTGGGAGCAGGCCGTTAAGTTGATTCGTCATCAATTGGTAGAGCGCTGCACTAGTATCGCAGAGGTCAGTGGTTCGAATCCCGTACAGGTCTGATTTTTTTCAGGTCTGATTTTCGCTATTGCTTAAATAGCGCTATCTACTGCGAGGATCGTGCATCATATGTATCTAATACCGCTGTTCAAAATATATGAACTTCACATATTTCATTGTATCTAACACAGATCAGCTTGGAGGTCGACCTTGGGAAAACCAGGATCAGAATTCAAATACATTTTAATGTATTGCTGGAAGGTTTGATAAAAGATTTCCTGAAACGGAAGCCCAGCACTCTACCTAGCTGTGTCTTATCAAACAATTTTGAGGACAAAACTAAAAGAAACTGATTACAAATTATTATAAAATAACATAACATGCAAAAACTTACTCAAGAAGATCCATAAGATGCCTGATAAAGTCTCCTTGTCCCAGAAGAAGATAAAGTCGAAGGGCCTATGTTATGCATCAGAATGAAACAAAAAAGAATCATTAATTTTTTTGAAACTTCTGCCAAGGATAATTGTATCCCAACAGGAAACTTTTTCATTACAACTATAATATTCCTTACCCTTAAATGATCGAGGAACTTGTACTTGGAAAAGAAAATCTCCAACAGTCTTTTGCTTGTTACCCTGTAAGCTGTATCTACTGTTTCTTCAAGGGCTGTTCCTCCAAACTCTTCATCAGCTGTTAGCTGGGCTGTAGCTAAAAATGAAATGCAAAACACCCTGTCAAATTGAGAAAATCTGAGTAAACTCATCACTTGGTTCAGCCACATTTAACAATGTACTGACATATGTTTGTTCAACAGAGTGTCCAAAAGAAGTGTACCTTATAGGAAAGACCTGCAAGTACATGTATTCAATGCTATCAAAATGGAAAAAAAAAAAATGTTATGGCCAAATTTTAACTGAAGCAAAGGCAAGCTTGAGAACGATCTTTTTTTTGGGTGCCAAGTCATTGGCATAGCCATGCTGGAACATCATGAATGATGTGCGTATACAAAGCTAAGGATGCCATAATACATATAGATAATCTTAATTATTAAAAACTGGATCATTGGATAATGCAATTCAAGACTTTTTATTGGCTTGGCCATTATGGTATATGAGCCAATATACCATAAAACTACAAATATGGTAAGCGTAGGCAACAGCTTAAAATTAAAAGGGAGCTAAAAATTTTAAATATAATCTAATAATTTAATTTAATGTTTTTAATAAACAATTATTCCACTCGTGCTTGTTGGATGCGAGACGATTATAGCCAACTCGGCGCTATGCGCCTTGTTGGCTGTCTATCATCTCATATCCAACGAGCGCTCGTGGACTAATTGTTAAGAATACCATGGAGGATTAGAATGCCTGAGGAGGCAGAGAGGATTTGAATATGTACCTGATGCTTCTTGTGACCTGCTGTACTCTAGCGCTTTTTCATCTTCTCCACTAATTGGGCTCCGATCTTGACAAACACATCGGATGAAGTTGATAGACTTTCCAATGTTTAAAATCTTAGGACAATTAAAACAATGTGTCTTTAAATCACCACAATATCCTTGCTGTTATAGAATAAATCATGGCATGAAGGAGCGCAACCCCTAGTTGCTTCATGCTATTTACCAAATTGAAATATGGCGTCCAATTTGAATTAACATTGTTTTGGACTTACTAGCCCCGTCTTCACGTGGAAACACAAAAGGATTATCACATGTGTGAGAGGCTAGTAAGTCCAGAACAATGGCAATTCAAATTGGACGCCAAATTTCGATTCAGTGTATGGAAACCACATTTGAGCACTGGTCTGTTGGGCCACTTGGCTCGTAAACAGACTTTATCTACTTTTACCAACCAATATTTCCTAGTTAATGCCATGTATATGTATTTAATTGTATTTTTATAATTTGTGTTGAAACATACCTTTGTGCCAAGTTCCATTGAAATGAATGAGGGCAACATTGGCTTTCTAATACTGTACTTTTCATACCACAAACGATCATCTTTAGTGTCGTAGTCCACAGCAACAAAGAACTAGAAAAATTTGCATGGAGGGCCATTTAGAAATCTTATCAAAGAATACAATTTTTTTTTAAGAATAATTACTTATTCAAATCATTGTATGTATGTGTTGAAAAGACTTTGATTACAAAAACTGTGCAGAAGGTGTTAAAGAACTTGTAAGAACAAAGAAAATTATGACATAAGTTTTGATGCTGTCATGTAACGTGAACCACTTGGTTACACTCTTTGTCAAATAATTTGTCTGCAATTTTTAAAATAGTCATTGTATAGTTATATAGTTCAGTGGCAGACTGGTTTAGAGAACCATTCCGAGAGATCTCGTGATAAGTTTATGTTTAGAACCGTTCTGAAGGATCTTGAGATGAGTTTAAGTTTAGAGACATTCTGAAGGATCTCAATATTAGTTTAGAGTTAATTTTGGTGTTTCAGCCAACCAGTATGCTTGTTTCTACAGTACTTACTTCATTATACAAGTCATCTAGTTCACCCTCATAAATCCACCTGTCAAGAATAAGACGGATTGGACGTGCAACCTGGGAACAAAAAAAATTAATCAATGGTAAACACCACAGCGTACACCATTGAGTTATGGATGCACGCGGGAGGTTGCTAAGCACGAAAGAAGCATAAGAGTCGCTCGAGGCGATAGCCGAGAGCGACTCTAGCTTCTTGAGTGCTTAGCAAACCTCCCAAGTGCATCCATAACTCAATAGTGTACGCTGTGGTGTTTACCATTTGTTTTATAACATAACATTGATACATTGTAGCTAAAGAGTTCCCTTTTATTTAACAAATCTTACGTGACCAGAAAAACAAGCGCGTGCGAAAAAATAGTCTTTGCATTTGCTCACGTTAGCAGCGCACACCCATGGGCAAATGGGGGACGCTAAATTGACCAATCAGATCGTGCGCTTTACTTTGGTTATGTTATAAACCCCATTGTCTACATGTATCTTGTTACTTTTAACCCCATGCCTCAAATCTAGTGGTATCACTTTAACAATATACATGCATTAATATAATAATTTTTTTTGGGGGGGGGGGGAAATGTACATATTGTATATGAATAGGTATTTGAACGTATAAATTGTATATTCTGTAGGTTCAGTTATAATATTTTTGAGTGGGTAATTATCTTTTAAAGGCTGATAGTTTCGAAAGAAACTGTTTGGGGCTGCGTCGGTGGGAGTAACGAAATAATTTGGATATATCAACAAAGTTGAAGGGGTAAATTGGCCACCATAACGATTACAAAAGCTTTTGCAATCATTATGGTGGCCAATTTACCACTTCGACTTTATTGATATATCCAAATTATCTTTTAAATCTGCAAGTAAAATAAAACTAAAATAGTGAAAAAATACTAACAAAATTGTCCTGAAATATCTATAGTTCAACCAAGAAGGCTCACGTTCACTGAAGATACATACATACATACATGTGTATTGAGATAGGAAAAAACAGACTGTACACTTTTATCCCAACAAACCTGTTTTGTGATAAACTCACTCTTATTTCAATTTTTTTTTTCAAATTTTTGAAATAAGAGTGAGTTAATCACAAAAAAAGGCTTGTCGGGATATCTTTGTTTTTTCCTATCTCAAGACATATTGTGCTCCACTTTTATAAATCAGGCACCGTACTACAGAAAAATTAATATGCGGATTAAATACAGACATGCTGGTATTTATTACACAACTCGGGCAGTCAGAGGGCCAATAACTAAAATTAACCAATCAAAATACTCTACTGCCAGTCCAATGCTCTCTAAGTATTGGACCGGGCACTGTCCCGAATGGTCCTGAATGATACTGCACTTCAGTCGTATAATAAATCTCTTATTAACCAAGCTTGCTCGGACCTGTCCTGGAAGAATATCGGCCCTTGGTCTTTTTTGTACGGACCGAGCTACGCTCGGTCCGTACAAAAAGACCGAGGGCCGATATTCTTCCAGTACGGTCCCGAGCAAGCTTGGTTAATAAGAGATTAAGTATTGGACCGGGCACTGTCCCGAATGGTCCTGAATGATACTGCACTTCAGTCGTATAATAAATCTCTTATTAACCAAGCTTGCTCGGACCTGTCCTGGAAGAATATCGGCCCTTGGTCTTTTTTGTACGGACCGAGCTACGCTCGGTCCGTACNGGTTTGAAATTATTTCTCTCTTAACCCCTTGATCCTTAGGAACAAATAGCATCTAATTTCTCCTAACAATGTCACACCTGAAGCTCTTGATTGTTAAACAAATTCTCCTTGTCAGCACCTTAGAAAATGCATTGAGAACAGTAGGGAGAAAATGCATACTGATGTTAGGGTGTAAAGGGTTGATTTAGCACTAATATTGGGTAGCTCAATCTAACAACAGTTTTCATTTGTTGTATTGACATTGATTCAATACTGAAAAAGAATAGAACTTACTATTGTGGGTATCATTTCCATAACTCATGAATCGCACTACACTACCAGTTCCAGGTGTAAAACCTGGCTGTCCAGTGATGGACACCTTATTCTGTGTCACACTGAGGGACTGTACCACAAGGCTTGCCAAGCGAGAACCATCACTATCCTGATGTGTTCTTTGGCCATCTGCAAAATGCACTGAGGGAGTTGGTCCAAGGTTAGGAGCAAATGATGATGGTGTAGGGGTAGGATCAGACGACCTTGATGGAACACTACTGATGCCGCTGCTGCTGTCAGTGGCATGAGTCAAGGACAAAACACCAGGGGTACGTCTGGAAGCAGCAAGTGGTGCATGTGAAGACACAGCAGGGGTGGAAGTCAGGTAGGTTGGAAGCCCTTGACCAAAGAAGGATGGTGCTCCTACTGACTACAAAGAGATATTGTTAGTAATATTACACACGAGTCATACAATGTTGCAAAACCTGATCTACCAGCATAACATCTTTAAAAGAAAATAACTGAAAAAATGTAGTTCAGGTTTCTAGTTCTGCTTGGCCAAGATGTTCTCAAAGGTTATCTCGCTGAAAATGAACACTGGAACTTGACAATGCTTCTTGTTCGCTTATAGAAGACTTCCTCTCTTGAGTAAGGTAGGTGAGGACCAATTGGCCTTTAAGTCTCGAGTGATTAATCTACATTATAAGATTAGTTGCTCCTTTTTACCTGGCCGTGTGACTGATCGGTTGAGGAATTTTCACTGACACTCAGTAAAAAGTAAAGGATGGCCCATCTGTTTTGAAGAACAGGCTGAAAACAAAAGTAAACCAGTAAATGGTATGAACTAAGGATAAGCCAATATCAGTTTCTAAAAATTGATATGTATTGGTAAGTCACATGATCTGCTTATTTAACTAAGTGCAAGGTCATCCTACATAGTGCATGGTAATTGTTGGGTAGTACCCTTTAGTTACATCAACCACAACAAGTCAAATATTTTCAATCTATTTAGACCCCCCTTTTTAAAGCTGTTAAGTTATGTTGCACAGTGTGCTCTACACAACTGCCCTCTTTGCCTTTTGCTATGATCACAAAAACAGGAGACAGCTGCTACATGAAGCTTTGAGGGCCTCATCACTTCTCACTAGTATCAACATTTTCCAATTCAAACCCAGCATTACTTGTACCAAACATTTGGCATTGGTATCGTTTGATCCCCAGTTTGAACCCAAGAGTAACAATTGGTAATGGAGTCTGATCGCCTGGGTAAGAATACAAATGTACATGTATTTCAAAAGAGGATTGTTGTCAGCAACTGCAACTAATGTTTCAACAACCCGTGTGAAAATCAGTTACAGAATCAACTAATGAGTTGTTCGTAAGTTGAATGTTGTAAAACTGGTTCATGAAGACTTATTGGTCAGAGAGAAATGTTCCAAATTAATTTTGATTTGCTCCGACGAAGGGCTAACGCTCGAAACGTCAGCTTTTGTAATCGTTACGATGGCCAATTTACCATTTCAACTTTGTTGATATCTCCGAAGTAATTTTGACAAGGGAGATTTAGCAAACCATCTGGGAGACCTGGAGATTCATTCCCATTTTGGTAGAATGTAAATAGTAGAACTTATGAAACTTAATAGTGGTAATTGTTATTTTTATGATTAAATGACTGATGGTAGACAATTCAATATTGAACAGCTGAACCTTTAAAGTCACATGATAAACTATCAACTGTGATTTATATCTGCATCATTTTAGGAAGTAAGGAAGAACATGTATTCTTACCTGAGAAGCAAGTTTGCGGTATAACTCTGAGAAAATAGCAATATCTACTTCTCTTTTCTCTTTAAGCACTACAATTCCATGAAAAAAATCAGAATGAAAGGACAATAATTAACTGACATGTAGGAGAAAATCTATATGATCTTTGTTTATTTCTGCTAAAAACTACAAAATTTATTCTATAGAAAAATAACAGCTGCAGCAATATCACTTTGGTTCACAGAGAAAACAAATGATCATAAATAATAACGAGGTTCATACATTTTCTTTTTATCCTTTCCACAACACGAAACTCATCAGTGGCTATGCTTGGGGAAAAACGGCTGAAATGAGGTTACAAGATATAAATATTAATATTACTCTTAGATATTTGCAGCTAAAGGAAAGAAAAAAACGCATCATCCATCCATCCCATCAGTCAATCTCTGTTTGTGTCTTTGTGTTCAAGTCGAGCTCAGAGCACGAAAAACTGTTGTGTCTGATTTTGTTAAGTTGTATGAAAGGGCAGTATGTCTTGTGACATTAAAGAATGTACGAACTACCCTGAATTACCCGTACCTTGCGGTCACATCTTAAAAAAACCTTCGTATCATTTTAAATAAATTTCACTGGGAACCGCGAACTTTTCAGTAAAGCAGTCGAATGACAAGTCATTCCGCAGGTTTGAAAGAGCTATGTTACACTCTTCCCTGAGAAATTTACATCTACATTAGAAATCTTTTGTTTTATCATTGCAAAACTAACTGATCTTTGTATAAAGGTTAGTTGCCTGTACTGACGATCGATGATCAAATCTAGACATGTTAAAATAATTTGCAAAAGTTTGTACTAGTGGGCTAGGGATAAGTTAATTTTTTTTTCTTTTTCAAGGATCCTCGTCAATCCTACTAAAAATCCTTCGCAGAGCATTACTTACCTTCCTACAACTCTAAGAGCGTATTGAAAGTGCTCGGAAACCTCAGCTGAATTGGCTGCATTGGAAACAAATATTGATATCAGAAATAACATTCCGAAAGATCGAAAAAGCGCATTCATTTCAAAACTGTACCTTTTGAATCACTGTCGTTTCTTAGAAGCCGACAGCATAGCTTGTGTAGAAGAGCTGCTGGGGACTTAGGATTGTCGATGGATGATTCTACCATTTCAAAACAAAGCTGAGCCAAAATATAGCTCTTTCAAAGAGGTTTGTCAGCCATCTTGAAAACTGCCCGCCAAGATAGTATGCGCGACGCACAGTGTGGGAATATTCACCACTGACCGCGTTGAAACCGCATTGCACAAAAAGCATTAACGCACAACGCAATTCTGCAGAGTGAAAGTTACAATACTTATTTGAACTCTGTACCCAGTTTCAAACTACAAGGGACTTAAAATTATACGGTAGCCTCCATTTGGCGCGAAAATATGCACGGATATTAATCCGAGGACCTTAACTGAGGGGGGTGAATAGGCTAACGGATCGACGGATTCTGAGAATTATTTTGTCCGGATTTCGGATTTAGAGCAAAATTTGAACGGTTTTGCGGATCCTAAAATTGCAACGGTTCGCGGTTTCGTCGATTTTTTAGGTTCGGATTTTGGATTTTGCTTCTGAGGAAGTTCGGATCGTGGATCTGAACGATCGTCAGAAATACGTTGTTTTCTGAGTATGTGTATTTTTTTGTCACGGACGAGACTCTCCGCATGTCACGCATCAGGGAAATAGGAGGGACCTTAAGCAACCACGACTGCGACGGCAACGAGGACGTGGAAAAACAAGAGATCTAATTGGCAGAACAATAGCCCAGCACGTGCATTTTGAAACTTTGTATTCTTAGCCGTCCTATTCAAAAGAACAACGTGAAATCGCCAAAATTTGCGTCGTCTGCGAACCGAAACCGCGACGGCAAATTATTTTAATTTCCATTTGGAACTCAAAGGTTAATTTATACGTCATGCTGAAGTTGAGCCGTGGCGCAGTATGAGACAGTAAGCTCATGCAGCCGTTTTTAAAATTCTAACTAAGAGTAGAAATTCATTTTTTAATCGAAGTCTTCCTTGGCGTTGCCGTCCTGACTGCTTAAGGTCCCTAGTAACGCACTGGGACGTCTGCTGTGTTCGCGCCCTTATCCATGACACTGTACCCCACCGATTGCGATTCGCTCGATGGGAAAGCCATTGTCTAGCTAACACACAACAGCTCAAGGTGCGTTTTCCACCTTCTTACGAGACAAGTCGCGAACGGATTCGGATTTGCATACCCCTATTCACCCCCCTCTTAACTGTTCCGAGATGCGAACAGTTTTCCGAGAGCGAAACTTGAGTAAAACTGCGAGCTTTGAAGAGTAGGTGATGTCCAAGGACAGATGTACGAGCATATTTTGGCGCCAAACGAAGGTTATCGTGTTTATTATCCTTCAAATATTTCCCGAGGCGTGGGGCAAACGTTTACAAACAGCTGATACCGTTTACGGCGTGGGATGTTCACTTTTCCGCAGTGTTCCACATAACGCTTTCTTATCTTGAATTAAATTTTGAACGCAGAGTTTTCCGTATTGGAGGTGAGGCTTGGTAATTGGGGAATATCAATTAGGGGTATATCCAAGGATATCCCCAGTTTTAGTCGGGGGATACTTGATACTCAGTCACGTGATTAGTTTTGACCAATCGCGCGCGAGCAAAAATAATAGTTGGATTATAATGACGCATATGGATTTTGCTCGTATTAGGGTTTGACAACTTGACAGCTACGGGGACTATTTCCACAGTAGAGACTCACGCATAACTGACCTAGCTAATAGTCGCATTAGATATTGTAGGTTTAACAAATAGTCGAATCCATTGTGTATGTACGAGGTACTTTTATATTTGATAAACCCGTCACAATGAATGAGTTGCCAATTACCGGATCCTTGCGTTTGCGCAGAGATTTCTGGGATCGCCACGGGGCAAACATTGCGGCCCGCTAGTTAGAAATGTATGGCGAAAGGAGTTTCGGTGTTCAAAAATACGATTTTTGAGAGAGATCAACGCTTTTTCGCTGCAGTTTTATCGTAGATGGATAAAGATAATTTTGATACAAGGTAGGTGTAACAGCGAAACTGCCTTTCGCAATACATTTCTTTCTAGCGGGCCGCAATGTTTGCCCCGTGGCGATCCCAGAAATATTTGTACAAACGCAAGGACCCGGTTACTGGCAACTCATTCATTCCACTGAGCTCGCGTGGGGTAGAGTCCATGTTTATCCTTCGCCCACCTACTTCAAAGTCCTGTATGCCGTTGCCAATAGCTACCATAGATGAAACTTGGCCGTTCAAGACTTTGAAAAGTTATCAAATAAATAATTCTTATTAGGGTGCAGCTATAATTTTCTGAGGTAGTTTGATACAGTGGATGTCTGTCTGCTTCTGTTGTCGCTCAACACAACAAGTTGCACACGAAACCGCAGGCTGAAACAGATAAATGTCTGTATCTGAGAAACTGCACAGCCACCCCCCACCCCTAACTCAACAACGGTCAACTGATACCAAGTTAGAAGTAATGTTGGGTTAGGAGAGGGGTGGGTGCGTAGTTGCGAGTTAAGTTGACATTCTTTCCCTTGACGCTTAATTTAATCCCAGTTGAATACAGGTAAAAAAAAGTTCGATGCTGCGTCGAGTAGTCGGCGCTGGGTTCAATCACCTCAAATGGAGATGCGTAATCATTTCATTTACACCGCAACAACTTCCTAACTATTAAAAAACCTTTAATTACAAAATCTAGTCTTGTTACAGTCGCTCTACAGATCAATTCCATATCATCTAAAAAAGCTAATAAAAACATGGTCACTTTTACTATGATTGACTTTTATTATAATGTAATTAAAAAAGCGACACTATTTTGGAACCACCTCAGTCTTTTTAAAATTTTTTTTATATTTTGGTGTAATTCATTCTATATTTTGGCACATAACAACAATAGGAAACTTATTTGGCAAAAGATCATTAAAAATTATTACTCAGTGGATCAAAATTTTGTTTTAACTGGAAATGTTTGCCGCGCATACGACGTCATTATATACTTAAATGAATTTGATCGTGTTGTTTGATCAAGCACTGTGTAGACACATTTCCCTTCTACTCAATCAAAATGGTGAAGAAACTTTCAAATTTCCATCAAGATATCAACGAAACTCCACGGCGTGTCAGCTTGCGAAAAGCAATTTAAATATTCTATGATTTATATCACTGTGACGCTTCTTGCTCATCATTGGCTGATAAAATGCTGACAGTGGCCTTAAATTGTCTGATTGCAAGCGTCAATACAGCGCGAACTCATAGAACTCTAAAAAGTGATTTTCCGTGATCATTAAGTCGGATTAAAACACACCAGACGTCCTACGATTGCTTGTGCCAAAAAAAAGCATTTCCTAAAACAGAAATTACAAAATAATACTCTGTACTCCTAATCCCCTTATCGTCTTAATTGAGAAAAAAGTTTATACCCAACCACCCAGTATAGTATAAGAGTATTTATAAAAGAGAAAACACAAGAGACCGTTTCTTAAGAGAACCGTTTGCTTCGTGTACCGCACTACAAACCTATCTAACACTATTCATCAAATTTCTGTGGTTGGTCATCAATATTAACTAGGAAGACATTACATTTCAAAACAAGCTCTATATTTATACATAGCTCCTAGATGAAGAGAGTGTGGCTAGACATCTACCATAAAGTTATACCAAACGAACAACTCTGACAAATAATTCTCGTGAGACGGTCTCTTGCAGAAAGCATACAAATATTAATAAAATTGCATAATAGAAAACTAAACATAACTATGTTAATCGCATACATGAGAATTTTCCGTCGAGCGGAATATCGTCCAAATTTTTCTAATTTTACAATCGATTTAATTTTTTTCTTAGGACGCGAATTCGCAAATCAAGGTCGTCGCAAACTTGATTCGAGTCCATCTTGAAAATTTTTTGTTTCATGGACGGATGGATAACTTTTTTTTTCCCGGCGGTGTTCAGTTGAATTAATCGCCATTAACACTATTTTTCAAGGGCAGTGCAAAGTTTTCAGAAATTTCTGACAAACGACAGACCACCGAGGCGGACCTGCGAACAATGGTCACGCATGACTCCACAAATCCATCGAGGCGGACCTGCGATCAACGGTTACGCATGACTCCACTAATCCATCGAGGCGGACCAAGGAAAAACGTCACGCGCGACTTCACTTGTGTCGCTGACTTTCCATATTTTAATCTGATGTCATTCCCAGTCAGCCTATAGTCTATCATACCGAAATAAAAGCCACCTAGAAAATTATTGGAAGCCAACGGATTATACCACCATTTTCATTACGGAGAGGGCGCTTTTTTCTCTCTTCTTTAGGAGCGTTCTTTTTTTTCTTTTTCTTACTGACCAGTACTTTGCTTTCTACCTGTCAACTAGCAGTTTTAGAAAGCAGAGCGGAAAAGCTCCTTTTAAGTTCAGTCATAGGGCATAACAATTAAAAAGCAAACCTCCTTGCAAACGCAAATTTTCAATACAAGTAAGTCTGAGAGGTTTGATGCTATCGGATGGAAAACAATTTTTTGAAACAGCGCAAGAGGACATGCTTTAAAACTTGGTCATTCTCTGAAAACAAAAACAAAAAAAATCCAAAGGAGCGAGAACGGCCTTGATGAAAATGAAGTGTCCAGCAAAACATATTTAATCAAGAGATTCACCAAGGATAAATTATATGTTTTGAGAGCGAAAATCATCAACAATCCAGACCTGAACGTCATAGAGTGAAGAAAAATAAGCTACGCAGATCACGTCTGTTAAACATGCAGGTGGTTTACTTTTAATCCTTAAAGTGATCGTCAACGGATTTTGAATAGTAACACGAACCTGATAGAACGTAGAAAACAGCATAACTCATTGACGACATTAATTCTAATAATGGTGAAATTAAAGTTGTAGACTTGAAAAAAAAAAAAAAAAAAAAAAAAAAATACGCCAACACCAGGTCTACTGACCTTGGAGGTGAATCGCATTCCTACCTTCAAAGAATTTTAAACGGCAGCGTAATCCAAAAGTAACGCAGAAAAACGAAGTTACGTTGCTGAACGTAAACAAGAAGAGAAAAAAATTCGACTTTATTATATGAATATTGTTCAAACTGAGTTAATTTGGCAGGTCACCAGGGTCCACGATGGGATCCACGACTCCTCCTCCGTTTCCGTTGCCATTATTATTACTGTAAACTTTTTTCATGCAGACAGTGCAGCGACTGACGTGTTCGCGTTGGTTTCCGGATTTAATCGTTTTTGATTTCGGTGTTCGGAACTGCTCCTCGTCCGTGACGGTTGTTAACCAGAAACTGTACGTGCTACCATAGTAATGACATGTCCCGCGGCCGTGGCATTCGATGAAAGGACTGGTACGGAAGTCCTCCAGACAAGAGCCTGGGGATGATAGAAGCTGGCCTGCTCCATCGTTTCCGGCGCTCGTGTGCTGTCGGGAATTACACAATTAGATTACTATCGAGATTGAGGGAGGAGAGATAAGGGGTAAATTATATCAAACCACAGTTTAGCCCTTTAACTATGGGTGATGTCTAGAGAACAATCTAGGAAAAAAGAGAGGGACAGCGGATGTTGTGTTGCAAAGGTTAAAAACACTTACCATTAAGAAGCTATAGCCTATCCAAAGCCTATCCCAGCCCTCAGGACAATCTGGCTCGACCATGCTCTGGCTGTGAAGGGCCATGACCATAGCTGGCGCCTCACAGACACGGCAGCGACTAATGAACGGCCGGATATCACTGTCTACCACTGGCATCATGGGAATAGGTTCGGGTGTCGACAGCCAGAAGGTGTAGTCATTTCTCGAGGCTAGGTTACAGTTTTCGTTCAGGTTACAAAACAGGAACGGCATGGTGCTGAATTTAGGAAGACACGAACCCGGCTGACCAAGATCTTGACCGTGGGCACGTTCATTGCCCTGAACGTAGAGCAAACTGTAGCCTTCCCACAGCGCTACTGTATCGATTGGGCAATCAGGAAGCTGTGCGGTCTGACTATGCCGCACCACATAAAATCCGAAATCTGCTTCACCCGGGGGTCCAGGAATTCCGCTTTGTCCTGGAGGACCCGGCAGACCATTCTCTCCAGGGGGACCGGATTGACCCTCTAACCCCGGGTCTCCCTTTTCACCTACAGAAGAATATAGGCGGATTCATGCTGACGTCATTGTTTACATTTTTGCTCATTTGCATACGGCTTTGCGTAAAGAAGGAAGCATGTTAGATACAAATTGACTTTAGGCAACTTAAGAGCTAGAAAACCTTAGTACATGGTGAAATTTTTAGCTCTTTGGGTGTAATATTCAGGGAGAAATAGTCCATCAAAAACTGCAAAATTTCTGGGTAACAAAAGCGCTAATGAGCTCAAACATTCTATGTAAAATTTTGAGTTTTTAAACCCGTGTTGCACAAAAAGTATTCAATGCATCAGGCTCGTATTCATTGACCGAGTTAATCGTACGTTGACCTTTCGATATTCAGAACTGATTTATTTTTAGCTCCATCGTAAACTGAATTGCTTATGCTAATTAGGCAAATATTGTAAACTAGGATTCCCCTCTAGATAACAAGAGAAATTCAGTTGAAAGGCATTTGTTTTTTGTCGATAGGTGAGAACTAATGACTGCTGATTTGTTGGCACAGAACATAATAACTATAATTTCACTGGCGGAACGGATGTCGTGTGCAGTGACCTTTGAATAAAAATTCAGAGGATCTGAGTGAGATCGAGTCAAGACTTTGTAAAAATCATCCTTAATTGACTTCAAGTCCATGCACTTGCAACAATCACCCGCTGATAAGCCCATATTCCCCACTGAAACATTTACGGTTGAGGAGTGGCACCCAGTCAAAGGTGGCTCAGAACAGTTTGAAGTTTGCTGTTTGGGCAGTGTATCAATTATGTATTAATAAATGTTTTTAAGCCTTTCACCGGAATCCGTTGCCAAGAAAATGCTCAAAAGGACCGCTCCATAGATCTTATTCTGGTGCTGGCAAATGACTTCGACCGTGAACCCCAAGAAGTGACTAACACGCAAGTTCTCCTTGCAATTCCAATTTGATATCTTGTGAACAGATTGTGAGAAACGACAAGCTTATCAGCTCCAGGATGCTATTTTAATTTACAAGGAAATGTACCGCAGTTAGAAGGGAGAATGCTTCCTGTATCTTGAGAGTGAAAGGGTAAAAAATAATAACCTCTACTTTTCCAACGATCACCATTTCTCAGATTTTGACAAACGGAGCTCCTTTTCGTATCGCACAGGACACCTACCTTTTGGTCCATCTAATCCATTGATTCCAGGGGCTCCGTCTTCCCCTGTCGGACCCTCAGGCCCGCGGGGCCCTGGGGGCCCTGTATCGCCCCTGTCACCATCCTGTCCATTGATTCCGTCCAAGCCAGGTTCACCTTTTTGGCCGGGAGTTCCTGGAATCAAACAAAACAATTGTAACAGGTTTCTTGATTAGCTAATTCCCATAAGGGGAGCTGCCTGTTTGTAAAAAATGCCTTGTATAAGTCTGAATCCCCCAAAAAAGGAAATAAGGCAGCAACCCAACCAAGTATGCTAATATACTTCTACTTTCTTTTCCATCAGGCAAGCTAGCTACAAACAAATAACACTGCATATACAGGCACAAAGTGATTTGAAGCGAGGGTCTCTTCATAGAATCATTAGCTCTCGAGAATTCAGATATGATGAATCTTGTAGGCTGTTTTTTCTAAAACTGCAGATCAACCTAACCTCCGTCATGTCAGCCTTCCTCATTGACTATTAACCAAAGTAAATACAAACGTCCCATTTCTTGTCGTGCAAAAACGAACAAATTTTCTGCACATGTGGTGATATTTTGCGATTTCAGAGAAAGTGAATGGAAGGGGAGGGAAGGGGAGGAAAGGGGACGTATCGGGGCACGTGATTGGCATGTGATGGGCACGTGATTGGCACATGACACGGGAGGAACAATAGCTAGTAAACAACATTTTCTTACTTTGTTTCACGTACATTAAAAATAGAAAAATAAAAACTCAGCAAAAAGTGCAAAGAGGAAAAGTTAACAAAGAAGGGAAACGCATGCAATAAAATAGGATTAAGAGGTTTGGGTAACGGGAGCGGGAAGATTACACCCCTTCTCTTCTCTCACCTTGTGTGTGTGTGTNAGAGATGAGCAAATGTGCCATGAAATGACATTCATTATATCCTTGAAAGATGCTGAAGTCCCTCTTTAGAGAACTAAAGAGATGAGCAAATGTGCCATGAAATGACATTCATTATATCCTTGAAAGATGCTGAAGTCCCTCTTTAGAGAACTAAAGAGATGAGCAAATGTGCCATGAAATGACATTCATTATATCCTTGAAAGATGCTGAAGTCCCTCTTTAGAGAACTAAAGAGATGAGCAAATGTGCCATGAAATGACATTCATTATATCCTTGAAAGATGCTGAAGTCCCTCTTTAGAGAACTAAAGAGATGAGCAAATGTGCCATGAAATGACATTCATTATATCCTTGAAAGATGCTGAAGTCCCTCTTTAGAGAACTAAAGAGATGAGCAAATGTGCCATGAAATGACATTCATTATATCCTTGAAAGATGCTGAAGTCCCTCTTTAGAGAACTAAAGAGATGAGCAAATGTGCCATGAAATGACATTCATTATATCCTTGAAAGATGCTGAAGTCCCTCTTTAGAGAACTAAAGAGATGAGCAAATGTGCCATGAAATGACATTCATTATATCCTTGAAAGATGCTGAAGTCCCTCTTTAGAGAACTAAAGAGATGAGCAAATGTGCCATGAAATGACATTCATTATATCCTTGAAAGATGCTGAAGTCCCTCTTTAGAGAACTAAAGAGATGAGCAAATGTGCCATGAAATGACATTCATTATATCCTTGAAAGATGCTAAAACTGAGAGAAAGAGAGAGAGAGAGAGAGAGAGAGAGAGAGAGAGAGAGAGAGAGAGATGGAGAGAGAGAGAGGGAGAGAGAGAGAGACTTGAATGTCAGGCCGCACAATATGAAGATGTACATCCCTGAACTGCACTCCCTCAAGTCTCATGCTTTCAACAGATTTAAGCAAGATTTAAAAAATAATAATAATAAAATAAAACCGATAATTACGAGGCCCACTACCGTAAATGATAAATATATCTTATTCGACGTTTTTTTGTATCGCTGAGTATTTTTACGAGTTGTGCCGTATTTTGAGTCAAAATACAAGTAACGAGTAAATATACTCAGCGATACTACACAACAAAACGTCTAATAAGCTATTTATTATCCAACACGCCAAAGTGTTATTTCAGTGCGGGCGAATTTCGCGGATATTTTTTTATGGGGAGTGCGTGACAGAAGTCTGCGAAGCGGAACGGAATTGGCGCGTTGCCTTGTTGCTGTTTCTATTTTCTTCAATAAATGAAGAAATTTCCAGGTCGTCTAGCTGTTTTTGTTCGCTCGATTCGTCTAATAAACTAGGATGTATATTTGCCAGCCATTCTGACTCTTCGTCGTCGGAAATATGATTCAAATTGTCCGCCATTTTTTTTTTTCGTAATTCAACCCTTCGCTTACGCGATGCGAGAAAACCTGTTTAACCGGTACTCTAGAGTACAAATACCGCGTGATATTTGTACTCGTCTATGGCGTTATTTGTACTCTACGAAGTGTAGTTGGAAAATAATGAATTGTATTGTACCTGATGGTCCTCGTTCTCCTTTCAGCCCGGGCCGACCATCTGCTCCTGCCTCTCCTGGTGGCCCCTGGGCTCCTTTTTCACCTGGTTGGCCTGCAGACCCATTAATACCTGCATCACCCTTAACCCCAGGCTGCCCGGCTGTTCCTTCTTCTCCCTTATCTCCTTTAGCGCCTACGCCTCCATCCAAACCATCTGGACCAGGGGGGCCAACCGGACCTATCGGACCAGGGTCACCTCGCGCACCTGAACGTGAAATGATAGAAGTGACAAGCCTCTTCATCTGCATTCAATTACTCGAGAACGTGAAAAGCAGCCGAACCAAATGCACCCCCCCACACTACCCCACTAAAACGAATGAAAAGGAAACTGACGAACTTAAATTCATATCGAGTCAGAAATTGTTTGAGCCTGGAGAGCGTAACTTTTAAATTTGCACATACACAAATAAACACACACAAAATCACACGCACACAAAATCTCACACACACACACACACACAAAATCTCACACACACACAAACACACACACACACACAAACACACACACACACACACACACACACACACACATTTTTAAGGCTGGGATGTATAAACCGCGTGGTTCGTCTTTTTGCGACAACATGGATAACATGACTTACAAGTCTCAGTAGGAGTTCCTTTTACTTAGCCATTTTTACTGCGGAAATCGTTTCGCCTTACGCCACACTTTAACCCTTCAACCCTTATCGGTGGCATGCGTTCCAGAGATGTGCATGCGTGAGAACATGCATTCCCCCTACGTTTGCACAGGTGAGTGGCTAGCATCTAATTTCTCCTCACAATATAACTGAATCACACATTAGGCAGGGCTCGAAATGAAAAAAAATTCTCCATCGCAATTTGTGAGTAATTCCTTAAATTTAGTCGCAAGTTCGAAGATGTTAGTCGCAAAAGTAACCAATCCAATAAATTTCATGAGCGTTACAAGACGTACTTTCGGAAAAAAGTGCGCCCGCGATACGTTTCTCAGCAAGAAATCAACGATAAAAGTCACGCAACATTTAACTTGAATTTCGCTGGATTTTTCGGATAAAACTACAGCAACCAGTAACAAGTAAGACACAAGGCTGTTGAATATAATTTATTTATTCAACAGCCTCACCAACCAAAAAAAACGTGACTACTAATCAAATTCTCACTGTCAGAACCATAGGAAATGTACAGAGAACACTATGGAGAATATGCACACTGATGCTAGGGTGTAAAGTTTTTAATCTCGCTCACCAGTCAATGTTAGGTTTCAATTCATAGTAATGGCTTAAGTGGCGAGACTCACCTTCCTGCCCCGGGGGTCCTTGGTCACCAGGCTGCCCAGGAGGTCCTTGTTCACCGTTGGTTCCATCAGTTCCATCCACACCATTTCGACCTGGTTGACCTTTCTCTCCTTTGGGGCCCTGAACGACTGTCGTTTCTCCTGTAGTTCCCTGGTCACCCTTGGGCCCTCGATCACCTAATGGTACATACAAAAAAAAAAAAATAATAATAAACAAAAAAACCGTGAATTCTTTCCCTGCTAAGACGTAGCTAGGGACAAATTCTCCCCCTTGATGATTCTACGTTTCCTTCTTTCTCGCCCTATTTTTGCCGTGGATGAAATTGCGTAACATTGTGTGGCATTCAAGTCATTTGATTCAAAAGTGAAATGTGGGATGCGGGGTTGAAAGCTTGTGCCGTGAGACTAGATGCCATGAGTGAGGTTGAGAGAGAGTTTCAATGCATTATTGGCAGACATGATTAAGTTGATGATTAAGTGTGCGTTGCTCCCATTGAAAGCGAATAGCTTTTTTTATGTTTTTTTTTTCTCACTAAGTGCCCACGCGAGTGAGTGAGCACTTGGTCAGTGATTGGACCTCTCACATTTTCAGACATTTACAACATGCTCGACAATGTCGCACTCTATGTTGTGATGGGTTTTGTAGCATCTTAGATCACGCTTCCGAAACTCTCCAACTTAAAATCACAGAAGCTATTCACATTCAGTGGAAACAACCTACAATAAATCATCAATTTCATCACGCTAATCTAAAAATTTTCTTGTCATTGCATAGTATTATTGGTAGACGCTTTATTCATTTAATTGCGAACGCAATAAACCAGCTCATTAAACCTTTTAACCCTTGTAGAGTGACCTGCATCTAATTTCTCCTTACCATATGACCCCAGAATCAAACACAAAGGTTAGAAGAATAGTAAAATGATCAACTGCAGAAACTCTCGATTGTTAAGCAAATTCTCCCTGTTAGTACCTTAGGAAATGTATAGAGAACAGTATGGAGAATATGCATACGGATCTTAGGTTGCAAAGGGTTGTAAATGTTTCTTGCAGCTCCGTTGGTAGAGAAACTGACCTGAGTGTGGAATTCTGGAGAAAGGATGGCCGCATCTTTTAATGCCCCGATGGAAGGCAGTTGAGATTATTTCGTGTATTTTGTATCTTTGGTTTTAATGCCGTATTTTATATATTTAAAAGGTCCAAAGACAAGAAGAGTGTGACTGAAACGCGGGGGAACTCTACGAGCTTTCTATTGTTAAGAAACACCTCTCGGTATTTCACCTGAAAATCAGAAGTCTAAGTTGACACACACTTCGGCGATCTTTGTGAGTTAATCCAATCTATCTCCTTTGTTTTCGACGTCTAAATCAACATTATCATTTTATTGACGATTTTCCTAGTTTACATCTTTTCTTTGCTGTACAGCAAAGAAACTAACCCTTTCACTTCCAGAACCCATAAACATGGAAATTCTCCTCAAAATGTCGATACCTCCTCCAGCAAACAGGTGTGAGGAAATACGAAGTGATCATTTAGTTGATACCCTTTCACGCATGCCTACCTTGATCTCCTGGGGGACCAGGAGGTCCTGGAGGTCCTGGTTGTCCATCCTCTCCTGGTTGCCCTTTCTTTCCATCTTCTCCACGATTTCCTGAAGCGCCCTCTGGACCACGGTCTCCCATCTCACCTTTAACACCGATTCCAGGCAGGCCAACATCACCCTTACTTCCTACAACAAAATGACACCCGTAACAGAGTCAAATCCGGGGTTTGTACAATTCTGTTGTTTTTGTCTCGGACCTTGCATTTCCAAAAACTCATTAACAGGTAATTAACTTCCTTGAAAACACTTCCGGCTAGCCAAGGTTCTTTCTTTCGTAGTAAGCAAAATGTAAAGTTTTAGCCGAAGGACCAATGTTTATGTGTAGAAACCGACATTAAAAGAGTTATGGTTTGTCGGTAGACCTTTTAAAACATTCAGAAGAATTCTTCGAGTCGGGCTTTTGAAGCCTGCTGAACTATTCTCATTCCCTTGAGATTCTTTTTTTTTTGTTTTCACTAATATCACCCCTTTCTACTGTTCTTGTGCATGGTTGAATTTATATTTTGTTCAAAATAAAAGTTTAAGTGGAATTTGGATGTCGCGAATGTTGACACCATCAACTTGACTTGGTATAAAGCAATAAGGGGGTAAGTTTCTCAAGGAAGTGTGGTTCTACGTCGGTGGGGGTAACAAGGTAATTTGGTTCAACTGAGTTGATAATGTAAACTGGCCACCGTAAAGGTTTAAAAGCCCTTTGACAATTCGCTCTGACGAAGGGCTAACGCTCCAAACATCTTGGTTGGACGATCACCTTATGAATAATTCATGAGTTTGAGAAAAACACAATCAAAGATACTTTGCATTTTTTCTCACCTTGCGCGCCTTTGTCTCCGGCGGACCCTCGTGGTCCTTGCTCTCCAGGTGGGCCTGCAGCTCCTGTCTGGCCCTTAGGGCCTTCTTTCCCTTCAGCTCCTGGGGGCCCCGGCAGTCCTCTGTCACCTGGTAGTCCTCGAGTACCGGGTGTACCAGGTGTTCCACGTTCACCAGCTGGACCTTCAGGCCCCGGATCACCCGGGCTACCCCTTTCTCCTGCTGCTCCATCGATACCATTATCACCTTTAGAAAGAAACATCGACTTCTCGTCAGCACTGAGAAGAAGGGACCCTTGTCAAAAATATGCTGCTTTTTTTTTTTTTTTTTTTTTTTTTTAACAAGATGCGTTTTGCATTTAGCGATCACTTACTACAAGTCTACATTGTTGGGATTGCAAATTTGCTCCTTAGACATCCCAACCAAAGCAACATAACTAACATTTTCTATTCTTTCGGATGTCGCAGGGGTCTTTCTGCCCTCCGGTACGATGTTTTTGTAACACTCACTGCTCAACTGTGAGGTCCAAAGCCAAAATATTTCTACTCTTCAAGTCGGCCGCGTTCTTGTCATTTCTTGCACATAACCCAGAGAAATTTAATAATTTTTCCTAAGTAGCCTATTAACATGTACATGCCATTTATTTTGATGCCTACAGTTAAACTAAACACGATAATTCAGAAAGTGTAAGCCGTACATTTCTTTAATATTTTCAAAAAAATTAAAAAAAAAAAAAAACTAATTACTTATAAACTTATGGTTAGCATTAACCCTTTGACTCTCAGAAGTGATTAACATGTAACTTCTCCCTATCATGCCCATACATTATTCCGCAAACTGGTTATGAGAATACTCAGACTTATCAGGTAGAAGTTGCTATTGTGATCCAACACCAAATTCTCGTAACTAATTTACAAGGAAATGTGAAGCAGCTAGAGAGGAGAATTAACAGTCGAATCTTAGCAGTTACCATTTCTTCCTGGTGGCCCAGCAGGGCCGCGGTCGCCCTTGTCGCCTTTGTCTCCAGGTATTACTGTTGCGTTTGACTTTCCAGGTGGCCCTTCTTCCCCTTTCATACCCTGTTCTCCCTTCCTTCCTGGGAAGCCCTGTCTGCCCGGCGGGCCGTCTTCACCCTTGACACCTGCATCGCACCAAATATAAAGTTCATTAGCTCACCAGCTTGTGGATTACAACCGAACCTTAGTCAATGGGAAGGTGATAATACAGATGCACACCCATTGACTTGCCAAGCATTGCATTAAATTCAAATGCTATAGTCCGCTCAGATGGCAAATTGCAAATGCGTACTGCACAAAAGAAAACCTCGAATAATAATTTCTTACTAACCAATTGATCGAGCCGTACTGGGGAATATTTTGCCGAAGTCTTCGGAGTTGGTAACTAACGCAGCGGGGTCCGCACAAAACGACCGAGGGCCAGTAGTCCCCAGTGCAGCTCGAGCAAGCCAGGTTCGTAAGTAGTTTGTTATGTCACTCGGAACAAAATTTTTTATTTTGAATTTGTCAGCTTTCGCGACGAAAAATACAGGGCCTATGACCATTTCCGTGGAAACGGTCCGTATGGCAAAGTACGGACCAAGTAAGAACCAATCAGAACGCTCGGATTTACCTCAGGATTTACCTTGCCTCATAATAAACAGAAGTGACTGTTGAGGCCAATTCAAGTAGTGGTCTCCAGTGCAGCCGTTGTTTGGGATGTAAGGTAATGCTCTACACAAAACTCAAAGAGCAGCTGCAAAGGAGAACAACAAAGTAATTATGATAAGAGCTGTAAAGATAAGCAGTCGCTCACAAACCTTCAACACCCTCGGGCCCTGGTTCTCCTGATTTTCCGACACTGCCCTTGTCTCCCTTATCACCGCGGCCCCCTGGGATTCCTGGTAATCCCTTCTCTCCAATATTTCCGGGCTCACCAACCTCTCCTTTCAGCCCTGGGGGTCCCTCTGGACCTTGTGGACCTGCAGCCCCTTCTGTTCCTTTCTCTCCACGGTCTCCACTGGGGCCGTCGTCACCTGGGTCTCCGTCTCGTCCTGGTTGCCCCGGCTCACCCTTTAGTCCAGGCTGACCTACAATAACGATGAAACCAAAGAACCGTAAGACTTTGTAGAAAGTTAACGCAAGCTGAGACGCAAATAAGAGCCTGAATATCAATTAGAAAAGTACAAGACCACCATGTTACAAGTCGAGGGTTCAAGGACCACCGTGGAACAAAACAACAACAACAACAACAACAACAAAAACAAAAACAACGTTGGCAAAATGGTAAGCCTTGACACAGCAGTTCAGGTGATTTATGCAAGGTCAAGTTAATAGTGCAAATGCTAACAAAATCAATTAGTTGGCTGCTTAATTAATTGATTACCAATATTTTGAGTTCTGAATGGGAGAAAATGCCTTAAAATGTCGTTGCTATGTTCTTAAGTATCCTGGCGCGGAGCCCTTTCCAAGAAGTATGGGAGTCGTCACCAAAGATAAGGGACAAATGTTAACAACGTAAGTCTATCTCCTGACACACTGAAGCTGAAAAAGGGCATACAAGTGTTATTCTTCTGTTCTTAGTGGCATACCTTTGGGCCCTTCCTTTCCAGTAGGACCACGTGGCCCGACCACAGCGTCACCCTTTGCTCCTGGATCGCCTGGAAATCCTCGAGGTCCTGTTTGCCCTATATCTCCTGATTACGAAAAGATTATGCGAATGATATTAGACAGACTAAGAGGGAAAAAATCCAACTCTACAAGGCTGTACAGTAAAACAACTCTCATTGGCAGAGTTTAAGGTGGCACTGTACGTTACGAACTACGTATTCATCTTTTGATTCAAGGCTCTGTGCTTTGGGCTTTGGCCGTAAAATCGAAAGAGAAAAGTGAAGTTAAGGAGAGAATTTTTAGACGTGGGATATGGCTTTTAAATAACTGAAAAATAATGAAAGGAAAGACTAAGGAGTTATGATTGCCGTTTGCGCAGTAGCGCATCTCAACAAATAATTAACGAGAAAAAAAAAGGGAAAAAAACGAGAAAGAAAAAATTAGAAAAACAAATATAAATTGTCATTCAAAATTTTGGTAAAAGTACATGACAAACATAAAGTAAATCCTCTATTAAGCCCCCCTCTTTGGAGGAGGAAGTTTATTGAGCCCCTCCCACACTTTCCCCCTTAAAAAAAAAACAAAAATTCAAAACAACACTCCGTGTCAGTAAGTACAACAAATTCATTCAAGTACTCTACCTTTAGTTTGTCATTTAAAATTGATTGTGGTGATTGACTTATAGATGTTATGTTGGAATCAATAGAATACGGTATACGGAATTACAATTTGGTGAATGAAAAAATGAAAAATGAGAATAATTTTTGAATAAATACGGTACGTCACACACTATTGTATCCTGGTAGTGAGCATCGGGCTAAATTGATAAGCCTTACCCCCCCTTTAATAAGCCACCTCCCCAAAGTACCTAAGAAAAATAAGCCCCCCCGGGGACTTATTAGAGGTGTTACGGTATGTCCACTGACCACCCCGCGTGTCTTTTGAACAAGCCGCGTAGCTGGATCTCAAATTTTGGAGGTTCATGCGAGACCTTAACGCATAATACTGGCTCAATCAAGCATAAAGAGACATCAATGATAGTTCCTGATAACGTCTATCTCACGTAAACTTCACACCACAATTATCAAAATGTTTCAACTTGCTTCGTAACTGATGCACACAAGTCGCCAAATTGGCAACTTAAGTGGATAGTTTGCCGCTAAAATAAATATTTAGTCTCCATGGCAGAAAAAAACGGTTGGAGCCTGAAAAAAAAGGGCCAACATTATTCGCGTGACATCGCATATGAATTCACGTTACAGTACAAACCTGGATTGCCAGCTGGGCCGATGCTACCCTTTTCCCCAGATTTACCTCTCTGACCATCTCTGCCACGTTCGCCTTTTTCTCCGGGGTCCCCTTGGGCTCCATTTTTACCTGGATTACCAGGTACCCCAGGGTTACCAGGTGACCCGATATCTCCCTTATCGCCTTTATCACCATCGCTACCTGAAGGACCTTCAGGGCCAGGGGAACCTTTGTCACCTCGGATTCCAGTGTCACCTGCAACATGACGACAAAGATCGATTTAAGATGTTTGCACTTGCATTGCGCTAACTACTCTTAATACATTTCCTTTCAACGAATTGCTAACATGGAGACTTGGTTTCACAGTCACCGCCTTTTCTAGTTGATGATCTGTTCCTTTACTCGTGTGACCTTATTGTGTGATTCGGGGGTGACGTTTTAAGGAAAAATTAAATGCTAGTCACTCTTAGAGGGTGAAAGGGCTTAATTGTGGATTATTCATTTGCAGTTAAAAAAAAAAAAAAAAATCAAATACTTCAAAGTACTGACATGAAAAGAATCGCAATATGATAAAAAAAAATCAATGGAGAGAACAAGAACAAACTTCTCGTTACATCGTCGCTCTATGAACAAGCAGAAAGGCATGGGTGTAGCCTGGGGGGGGGGGTTCTGGAGTACCCGTTAAACCTTTTTGTAAGCTTTTTCTACAATATTCTGGGAGTAATCTCTGTTTGACACCGTTTGAACCCCCCCCCCGTTTGAAAAATCCTCACTATGCCTCTAAAGAGGTGATGAGAAGGGGACATTGGTGGACATAGCACCACCATTTCAGTGCTAGAGCCATCAGAAAGAAATGGCATACAGTACGAACAATTGACATAGTGAGTTTGGGGAAGAAAGGATCAAGGTTTCACAGACAAAACCCCCTGTACCGTATATTACCTTTAGGACCTGGTGGTCCGGTTCCACCTTGAGGACCAGGAGGTCCCTGTGGCCCTGGACTTCCATCTCCTTTCTCTCCTTTCATTCCTGGTTCTCCTGGCGGTCCACTCTCACCACTAACTCCTGCTGCACCCGGCTGACCGTTATCTCCTGTTGGCCCTTCGGGGCCTGGGAAACCTTTCTCACCTTTCTCTCCTTTTGTCATGTTCTTAATTTGTCCCAAGCTAAGACAATCACCTGTGTGTGCAAGACAAAAAGGGCCCAAGGCTCCTTGAGCGTCTGATAACTTGTATTATTAAAAACTGGATCATTGGATAATGCAATTCAAGACTTTTTATTGGCTTAGCCATTATGGTATATGAGCCAATATACCATAATCTAATATCTGTACATTGTAACATCCGGTTTCTTCTTACAAAATAAAGTCGAGAAGATTTGTCTAATATCTTGGGGGCGTTTTTTTAA